GAGATTCAATGGCTAGTTCTCGTAGTCTTACAGGTGTAGATATAGCATTTTAGCGCTAGGGCAGAAAGTGTAATACTCGACTCGATCCTAGTCAACAGTCGCCTGTGTTCCGTTTGACTCAGCGGTACAGTGAGGACAAAAAGGACTGATGAAAGTCGCCGTTGTCTCCTTATGATCTCTGCATACTTACTCACTCATCAGTTTGGATAAAGTGAAGGATGAGTTCTGCTGAGAAAACTGTCCAGCTCCCTTGCTCGACTCCAGGCACTCAGACGTAGTAGTTGTTGCAAGTGTGTTTCATGCACAATTGAGGCGACTAAGTCAGACAGAAAGGCACTTAGGTGGTACTCTTGGAATCCCAGCCAAACAAACATATGGCGGTGGTCCCCCACAACAACTATACTCAGATAACCATTTGCTTCTAGCTAGCACAGACTTCCAGACATAATGACAGACTGTAATACATGGCATTCACCAAGTTCAGTCTAGCAGTGAACACAAGTAGACTACATTGCTATCAGTCATCGCTGGAGAGGGTCGGGGAAAGTCTGCCGCTTCTGCAGCACGTGTTCCGACAGCGACCACGCGTTGGTTCGAGTGCGTGTGTTTTTGTATTTAAATGGGCTTGGAAAAACATAAGCAAGGAGACTATTGCAAGTGCAGCTCAGCAGTTATAGCATTAAGGCCACTCTTAGTTGGAAACTGCCTAGACAGTTTTCAGGACGGAACAATATCACTCATCCAGAAGAAACTAAGCACCATCTCCAGTCTGCTGCTGAAATGCTGTTGAAGTCTGTGGCTGACTCCCAGAGAGTGGTTAAAAAGACCCAGTGCACATCAGCAGCTTCTTCTACATGAACGGATGCACGTGAAAACCGCTTGCTGACTCCGAGTTCAACGTAAATTGACAAAAAGTCTACGCAATGACCGCAAACATTGGTGGGCAGCGACAGCCAAAGAGATGGAAGAGGCTGCAGCAACAGGTAACAGTAGACAGTTATTCAGAAGTATCAAGGAAACTGATGCCAAAAAAGTCAATGGTTAGTGGGACGATTTAGAAGAGTATGTCTGCGATTCACTCGCAGAGGAGACGATTGGAACGATGAGTGGAACGCTTTGAGGGAGCATTTCAACTGACCTCCAGCTACTATTTCGTTGCTCACTATGCCGTCGAAGCCTGAAGAGAACGTCGAGATGGAAGCCCCAACACTTTCAGAAGTCAAGAAAGTTGTAGGTAACCTGAAACGCGAAAGAGCAACAGGGCGAGCCTAGTCCCAGAGATATTTAATAACGGTGGTCAGGGTTTTTTAGTCAAGTTAACTAATGTTGACTAGTGTTTGAGACTCAGATACGATACCTTCTGATTGGTCTCAACCACTGATTGTTCCAGTCTTCAAGAAAGATGAGAAGTCCCCCTTTGATAACCACAGAGACATCAGTCTGACGAATATGGTGTCTCAGATTCTAGGTTTTACAGTCATGAGAAGTCTGAGCAGAGCTTTGGAACAGGAAACTTGAGAAAGCCATGCAGGCCTCAGACCTGATGGTGGATGTATGGACCAGATGTTAACACTCCGCCGGTTTATTCCGTTCGCTCTGTTCTACTGTATGACTGGGGAAAAATCGATGAGTAGAGTAGAGGACATGAGAATGGTTCAGGTGTTTGACCACCATTGCCGTTTGTCATGGTTTCTCCACTTCAGCAATGATGAAGTCAAGTGTATAATTTTAGGGAGGAGAGTTGTGGTTGTGATCCTCCATCAACTGAGATGCCTAGGATATGTGTTGCGCATGCCTAGTCACCATCTACCTCATCGCGCAATGTTATCTAAAATAGCTTCAGATTGGAAAAGGGTAGGAGGTAGCCAGACTAAAACATGACATTATATATATATATATATATATATATATATATATATATATATATATATATATATATATATATATATATATATATATATGGAGTTAAAGATATAGTCAGTAAATCCCTTATAAATGTGTATTGTTCAATTAAAAACAATCTAATGGCTCGCAAAGCTTCGTTTCAGGTTGTGATTGTGTGTCCTGACGATTTTGTCGGTTAAGGAAGAAACTTATTTGAAATGAACAGTTACACCTCATCCAAAACACTGTTGAATTTTCATTTTTCAAAACACTATCACTTCTAAATCGCTTCTATCATTTGCTTATCTTGTAGTTAAAACATTATTAGATCCAAGCAAGTGATTGACTATACCAGAGTCTATTTTGCTCATTAATAATGGATATTGAAGGACTAACTTGGGTCATAATAGTGTCATCAAGTTAAATTATGTTGTATATATATGTGCTTTATGCTTAGTACGCTATAAGTAATCATATGATGTATAGAAATGTCAATTATTCATATGAATAGAACATTGGAGTTCACATTGTTGAAATGATATGATAATCGTAATGTTTAGTTATCCATATAACCTACATTTAACTTCATTTCACTGATAAATAACGTTTGAACATACATTTCAGGGTTATTACTGTATAAGTATTACTTCCTCCCTCCAGCTGTGGCAGAGATGTAGGTGAAATGTATGTCCGAAGAAAAGTCACTATCATAAATGACGTCGACTGTTAGACATTTCTAAAAAGCTTTTCGTCATGAATACTAGCGTATTTTCTTTATCTTTTCACAACTTTCTACCACTTTAACTCCTTTTCTTATTCTGTTACTTCGGCGTCTTGTAGCTTGATATACTGATTTAAAGTGTGGCAACATGGATTGTTACGCTATAATGCCAGGTCCCAAGTTGATGCTGACTAAATGACATGCACACATCTGTTATGTTCACTTTCAATCTTTGAGTTCAAATATCACCTAGTGTGATCTTATATTATTGTCACAGTCGGCTGATTACATAAAGTTGGTCATTAGTTAGCTTATGTTTGGATATTCTAGTCTTTTCGATGCTCGCCCCCCTTCTGTCTCTGAGCTTAGGTTATTCTTGGCCCAACGTAAAACGTCACTGTTGTTTCTCGAGGAAAACAAATTCAGTATATTTTCATGAGTATTTATAACAGCAGTTTCTGGATGGAATATTGAGTGAAAAGTTGATCTGTTCCATTTTTTCTATCTGGAGGTTTGTGGAAATTTATCAATTGATTTTAGGTTGAAATTCATCATGGACTGACATAATTTAGAGGAACATTGGGAACCTGAAAGCTCTGGATAAGTGTTACGTCCTAGTGTGGAACTCCTCGATAGTATGCACCCACGACCCTGCCACGGGTCAAACCCATGACCTTCAGGTCCCGTCGCCAGCACGTTACCGTCGAGCCACTGGATGGGAATCCAATTTTTCTTGATTAGTCTGTTCTTGTTGGTTTAATTTCCTTAACCATCTTTTTGTTAGTCTTGAATTGGTCAATGCGACTGGTATGTTTTTCGCTCCGATGATTATCATTTTGATCCACTTCACGTCGAAAAATAGAGCATCGTTTTGTTAGATTGACCTTCAGCCTGTCTGCAGGTTCGATTGACTCCTCTTCTTTCTTTTTTTATTTCTCCCACTTGGTTGACTTTTAAATTGGTTCAGTCGTAAAGCACTTTTGGCTTTATATGTGAATCATTTACAGTTTGGTAATTATTCCATGGGAATCAAGCCTGTCGGTTTTGTAGCATTTTACACTATATAGTCTGAAGGTTTTCATCAACTTCATTTATGAATTATTTTTGATACGAAGTCGCAATATTATTACTATTTAGTATCGAGATTCATTCATTTGCTTCTTTAACACAGGCTGACATTCAAGGTGGCTTTTAGTCATACTCTTTGACGTCTTCTGAAGCTTGAATATTCGCTCTAAGCTTTGCCGTCAAATTGCTTGTTCTCTCACACAACATTATCTACTCTGATATCAGCCTTTTTCTATCCACCCTGTTGTCGTATGCTACTATGAAGTGTGGCAACTTGAAGCGATGCACTTGTGTGCTAGACTCTGCGTTGATTCTATCTGTCAGTCTGCCCGTCTTTATTCATACTGCGTATTTATTTCAACCTCCAATCGATATCTTTCAAAATCCAGTCATCTTTCTTGACCATTCTTCTTATCAATGGATCAACTAAGGATCACAAGTATTCTAATTTCAATAACTATGTAGATGTTGAATCGTCACTTAAGGCTATAAATTTCAGTGTGATGATGAAACAACACTTTACTCTAAAATAATGTGTGATCAAGGTTTCAAACAGATCATTGGGGGATTTTTTGAAAATCACCTTCAAGCCAGATGTATGTTGTAAATGACAGACTTTTTGAGAACAAAAATAAGCATAAATGATAACTTTCTTCACGGGAAGAAGAAATCCTTAGAGTATGATAGCGTGATCTATAGTCCTAAGTGCTTTCTGTATTTGGTGGCGAACAAAACCATCAGTATATGGGGGAAATGAGGACATCAATGTCTTAGGTTCACAAGGTGTGCCACCAATTCTATATGACTGACGACTAAAAATCTAATGTGCACACGTTTCATTATGTACACACATGTTTTCCTAATGATAACAATGATAATAACAACAGTAGTGGTAGTAATAGTAATGAAGGTCAGAGTGTATACACTAGTAAGGTAAACAGGTTTGGGTTTTATGTACTCCCTTTATCACAATTGACAAGGAAAAGTTGGTTAAAAGCATTTAAAATTAGAGTTTTAGAGAAACAGTTGTTGGCTGAGGTTAATCACCCAAATCGAATTTGAACGGGAAGAAACAATTATTAGGTTAGTGGTACTTTTAGCTATGACTTGCCATTATGAAACAAACACGCTAACCATAGAAGTGAGGGATGGAATTTTGTTTAGAAAACGAGGAACATTCTGATTATAAAGGTGGTTTGCGTATGGTGAATGTCTGCCTTCTTTTATTTTCAAATTTATTTGACTCGTAGTTATGCATTAATTACATTTTATTCATTATCTATATTTATTATTGTTATTATTACTATTGTCTATCTTCTTTCAACAGTGATATAAAACCGGATAATTTTCTTATGGGCTTGGGTAAACGTGGCAATCTGGTCTACTTGATTGACTTTGGTTTGGCCAAAAAATATCGAGACAGTCGTACACGTCAGCATATACCCTATCGAGAGAATAAAAATCTCACTGGAACAGCTCGATATGCCAGTATTAATACACACTTGGGCATAGGTAAGGTGGTGTCGTATTATTTCTACTTCCTTTATCGTCTTGAAGTTGTAATTCAATGCTTTAGACAGTTGACTTTCAATCAGTAGGTTGCAGGTTCGAACACCGTTCTACCTACTGGATAGGCAGTTAATTGCATCATTAGCCCTCACATATTAAGGGCATGACTCATTGCCTACTGGGAGAGTGTGTACATGGTGGCTGAGTAATTAGTTTCAATCTTCGTTTTTGTTGTTGCTTTTTGCTACTGAAATGGAGAAATACCAATAAGAATGGGAATAATATTTATCAGTGTGATGAATGCAATTTCCAAAGATCATTCTTCCGTAGCATATTTCTTTCCCCTCTTCAAACAGGTAAAAATTCCTGTTTGGTTTAGAGGATTTTTTTCTAAGGTAGTGTTCATCACGGACTGACATCAGTAGGAGAAACACTGGAAACCTGAGAACACTGATCAGTTGTTTCATCCTGGTGTGAGACTCTTCGGTAGCCCACACCTAAGACCGGGCTATTAAAAAAAATAAAGCATTGTTCAAGTTGACTGTGTACTCACTATACATCGTTCAAGTTGAATAACCTTGAATTGTGAAATTAAATTGACATTTTTGCGAACTGATGAGATACCGAAAGGAGTGTAAACGTACATCAGTAGTTATTTTTAACTACTATAAGATTAGGAATTTATCTTTCATGTAAAATGAATAAGTATGAAGAATTCCGAGTGGAAAGAAGACCATTGTGAAATTTTTTCACACCACCTATCAGTTTGTCCATTTATACACACAGGCAGAAGGGGGATATACAATTCATTTGCAAAATCAAGCTTGGTTAACCACCCTAGTAATTCTCTATTTAATTATTCATTTTACCAACCTGGCTGCCACAATATAAATCATTGGGTAGAACTAATTAACATTATGTTATGTATCAACGAAGAGATGAAAGATAACGCACATGTACCAAGTTTTGGAGGTATACAGTGAAACTGTTTGTCACTTATCAATTCCCCTTTTCCACTTTTCACAATCAAAAAGACGTTTAGAACATGTCAAAAGTTATCTAAGCTGATGGATATCTTTCCAAGTTTCATTATACCCTTAGAAATCATATTTATGCCGAACATTTACTAACACGGGAAAGCGACTAATTTGATGTTGTCTGGTCCTGAGTACAGACCGAATTCTATCAATCATATTTGCAATGTGGCCACTACCATCTACGAATGTACACCGCGATGCTGAGCATTCTACCTTGGTGGCCACATTGTAAATATGATCGATAGGATTCGGTCTGCACATAGGACTAGACAACATGAAATCGGTTGCTCTCCAGCGACTAATCAAGACATGTAACCTAGTCCTATAGAAGGTCAGTCATTACCCGAATAGCTCAGTGAAAAGGTCGCTGACTGCACTACTGGAATGATGCAGGTTCGAACCAATGTGTAAAGTCAAATTTGAGTGAGCTGTATCGGACAAAAATGTGATAACTAGCAAAATGAAAAACTATTTCAACGTTGAGTGTATGTTAGTCGGATAGTGCTTTACTTCTTACGGAAATGTCTCCAAGGTATCATCGATCACGAAGGTAACTAGAAGTAGGGGAAGAATCAGATGATTCAATTGACATTCATTATTCATTTAGAGTAGCTAGAGAGAGAGGTGATTGTATTCCTCTCACTTTACCCAGATTGTTACTTACAGGAGTTCTAAGTAGTTGGGAAACTCTTAATATATTCTGCTTTAACAGACACTTCTAAGTCACATTTCTATTAAATCATCCTGATAAATTCAATTTCGTAATTGCATTTATCAGGTCTCTGTTGTTAAATATTTAGTTCTAGGGGTTGATCTATTGAATTTTCTCACCTGACAATACATAATTGAATAATAATAATGGTACTAATTAAGACTTGACCAGTTAGTAAAAAGCTTCGACTGTTGTACTAAGCTGAACACCTATAAATCGCAGAAGTTTATGCAAACTGTTCAAGTTTTCATCATATGATTAATGCACAATGTGATAGTCTCTGTTGTTTTCTCGGATATTGGAGGTGCTTGAATCGAAGGGTGGAGTTTTCTTAGGGATTTGTACCTCAATTCTCTGAATTGAGGTGTAATTCACAATACAGGAGTTCCACTTTCATTCTAATCTACACTCAGAAGTCCATCATAATCCATTTGTCTTTTTTCTAATACATGATTAGTTAATGTGGGCAGTAGTTTCAAGCCAAATGAAGTAGCATCATAAGCCTTTGGTCGTTGGGTCACCACCGCCATTCTAGAACCTAAACATTTATTGCGTTTTAAAATATCTTTTCGAGTCGATAACATCGGTGTTTTTAGATGTATCTGTTGCGGTTTTTCACCCATCTTGAGAATCAATTTATCTATGTCATGTATATCTAAGTGACTTGAACCTTTATATGTACTGCTGTGCACACTAAATTACTTGTTGTATTTAAGTTCACAATCCAGTCATGTAAGAAAGTCATTCGTGGCTTTTACAGAATAGTAATGAAGTCACTGAGTAGCAGCAACTTGTTTCGCTAGAGCAACTTGAGTTTTCCTTCATATTGCACATAAAGCTTGACGATGAATTCTTGAAAGCATCGAACCTACAACCAAGGATTCCTATCGATTGACTTTTAACATGTAATATTAAGGTGCGTGAAAAAAAAACAGTTGCTTCTGTGCCATTAGAAGTACTGGAAGAAAATTTCGAGATTTCAGCAAAATCTATGCTAAATATCAGTTTTTTTCATGTGCTGTTCACAGATAGGAATTGCAAAATCAAACATTGATATCTGAACAGAGTTTTTTATACTTTGAATGACGTTTTCATGACTACAAAAGCTTGGAATACTTTTTAGAGATAGTCGTTTCTCTTTTGAACTGTATTGGTAATCCCGATGAACTCCATTTTAGAGAGTCTTCATTATCATACAGTTTTTTTTTTCACGCAGACACTATGAAGTACTAATAAATGACCAATTCTTTCCGAAAGAAAATGTACGAAAATTACCTTGTTAGTAAAATGACTGTCTTATAGTAATGATAGGTAGTGACTAACGTGTTTCTCCCAATTTGGGACCTGTCACCCGGATAATACAAGCAAAAACATAAAAACTATGCCCGTTTCACAAGAAGTGGCTATCATGACTTGTTAGCCTAGTGGATAGCGCTCTGGCGTTTGAAGCAACTGGTCCAGAATTCTAGTCTTTGTGGGAACAAAATCGCTCACTGGGAGGCGAGTGCATCCAACTGACGGGTTCCAAATAGGATGAAACACACGTCCTAAACTCCACTACTAGACGCTATGAATCCTTACTATGAAAACGTAATAACAGGCAATATCAAGGTATTGCACAGGATCCCGTATACCAATAGAGACCTATTGATTCAGTCCCATCTACGACGGGGTAATGCTAGCAATAACATAAAATAACTGTCTCTTCGACAAAACAATAAGATGTAAATTGTCTGGACCGTGTAATGTATTTGCGCAACACATTTCGAACTATCTGATCACACACGTACTTGTCATAGGTATTTATATAAAAACTCATGAAGATAAGGGGTGAGAAAATAAAAACGGGTCAGGTAGGAAGGCTGACTTAAAGGCTTGATTTTCATTGTTATTCGGCCTTTAAGTCAGCCTTCCTACCTGACCCGTTTTTATTTTCTCACCCCTTATCTTCATGAGTTTTTATATAAATACCTATGACAAGTACGTGTGTGATCAGATAGTTCGAAATGTGTTGCGCAAATACATTACACGGTCCAGACAATTTACGTCTTATTGTTTTGTCGAAGTTTATAAAGGGAACTAATTGTTTTAACTGTCTCTTGTAAAGATTCCTCATCTTGGAGCAGTGTAGTAATTCTTTCCTTTCTGGGTGTGAGCAGTTAGATCTAAAATATATCCCTAGTAAGAACATAGTGTTAATCTCATTGCTGTCAGATGACCAGTGACGCCATTTCCAGAAAACTTTATGAATTAGGAATGTGCAGTAAATATTGCCAACAGAGTCACTGTTTAAGCTAACCTAGTTGATAAATTAAATCGAGAAGCCTATGATACTTGAAATTGGTCTAAAGCTTAGTCTTGATATCATGTATTATTGTTGTATGTACCTGTTTTCTAGACACAGTATAAATTTGTATAGATCAACAAGGAACTTGACACGGAGCAGTTCAAGTTGTAACAGTTCATAATTGAAGAGAAAAAAGAAATATATGTTGTTAGGTGGTTGACGGTTTATTGGCAGACTGCTCTGGACCTAGTTTTCATACCTGTTTATGCTCTTCAGCATCACGTATCTGCAACCATGAGCTTACTGACTTCTGCACAGAGATTCATGATCGCGTCAATCTGTATCCTAGTCGCTGACCTTATCGCTTACATATTTTTGTTACGATTATCCTCTTGTAAGATTGGAATAGATATATTGTTTGATCACTGGGGAGAGTAGCCAGTTCCACGTTTTCTAGTCCTTAAAACTCACTGGATTCGATCCATCGTTTGCGATTGGGTCACAAGGCTATACGACCTACTATTGCTGTTCACTTTTTGTCAATTACATCTAAGCACATAACACCTATCATAGTTTACTGCGATGATGAGTCTCTTGGCTTGATGGCTACCTTGCGAATGATCGACCGCATTCTGTCAGCATTCAAGAGTAGACAATATGACATTGGTTACTCTTTGATAACCAATCAATGTATACATACTTCCCCTGCTGTGTTTCATCGATTTCACACAATAGGCTTATTCATAAGACTTAAAAATGAATGAGTCTACTCAGTTTATCAACTTCAGGATCAACATTTGATCTAGAGGAATCGAATAAGCTAAGAATTAGATAAGTGGATTCTTTAAAAAATGCATTTATCAAGTCCTAATGAGCTACGGATGTAAGTTTCTGACCTTTCACGACCTCGTTGAAGCCTCTACTTCACAAAATGAAACCTGCGCAAAATGCATACTAAAAATCTGTAATTCATACAGATTGTCATTCACAGATTATCTTGACTGAGGGAGAAATGTACAGTCTGTCACTGTCCACGCCAGTTTTGATTTGATAACGGATTACATAATTGGTGTATATGTAATCGACACATTGACTACTGATATTCTAAGAGTAGCAGAAGTATAAAAATGGAAATAGTTAAACAGAAATAGATTATTTGTTACTTTTATTATCTCGATATTGCCAGTGTTCCAGTTTCATAATAATGATGGAATCCAAATGACAACAGAGACCGATGAACAACAGCATTAAAACTATACCTGTCGCACAAGAAGTGGCTATCGTAACCCGGCGCCCTAGTGGATAACGCTTTGGCGTTTGAAACGATCGGTCTCAAGTTTGAGTCTTGGTAGTAACAACGTCACCCACTAGGTGGCAGGGACATCCAGCTGATAAGTCTGGAGTAGGGCAAAATGCGCTCCCTGGATTCCACTGCTAGCCGCTATCCATCATTATTAAGAAGTAGATTATGTACATTACCAAGAAAAGTTATGTTTCTGATTGATACTTGTAATTTTCCGTTGCTATGTTGGGTCAAATTACCCGACTTTTGTTGACAGATGGGCTCCTATGCGGATGCCTGGATATTCATTACAGTGTAGTCTATTTGATGACTAGCAGTAGAATGCAGAATGCGCGTATCGTCATATTTGGGACTTGCCAGCTGTATGTACCTCCACCCCAGCTAGTGATGTTGTTCCCACTGAGACTCGGACCCAATAATCGTCGCTTCAAACACCAAAGGGTTATTCACTGCGACATGAGTGCAACGGGTATCAGTTGTTTATTGATACCTTTAATTTCCTGCTACTATACTGAGTCGAATTGTATGACCTCTTCTGTCAGATGGGGTCCTGTGCGTGGTGATTGTATGCAATTCGTGTTGGTATACGTGTGATTCTCCGTTGTTATACTTCATGACGCTTTGGTGTTTGAAGCGATGGGTACTTGGTCCGAGTCTCAGTGGGAACGACGTCATTCAGTAGGGTGCAGGTACATCTAACCGACGAATGTATCCCAAACAGGACGAAACATGCGTTCACGATTCCATTACTATCCATCAAATTGACTACAAGTTATGTTTTTATTTACATGAATTCATGGTAGAAGTTCATTATGTTCGCCAAACACGTTGTTTCGCTGTCGACTTTGTTGTTTTAAACCATCTTTTACTTTACAAACATATCGACACTCTATATACACACACACAGTAATTATGTTGAACGATAGGATTTACAGGTTGATATTTATGCTTAAGGGGGCGGGAGCATATGGTTATACTCAATAATCCTGACCACTGACTGATTTTATGAATTAAATGCAATAGTATTCAGTTTATTGACATTGCTTCTAATGATATACGCTGTTTATTTTCTGACCATCGTTTTATGGCCAATTAGTAGATTCATTCTCTGTGTAATAAGTCCAAAATATATTTCATGTTGTATTTCAGTGTTGTATAATGTATCGTTAACCTAATTTGTGATTGTTTTCTCTTCATTCTCTACAAAATATCATTTAGAACAAGCGCGTAGAGATGATATGGAATCACTTGGCTATGTATTAATGTATTTCTTACGTGGTAGTCTTCCATGGCAAGGTTTAAAAGCTGGTACTAAACGACAAAAGTATGAACGTATCAGTGAGAAAAAGATGCAGACACCTGTAGAAGTTTTATGTGAAGGTTATCCAGGTAGGTGAATATAATTACGTTTTTGTCTCTGGATAATAAACTCGAGTTTCTCTGATGTCTTTTAGGTGTTTTGAAGATTGAATTTAAATCCAGTTTAATAACTAATCTGTAGTGTTCGGCACAGAACTCTCCTTGTGTACACAACAGTAAACAACAACAAAAATTATCGCTGGTTCGAATTCCACAGCGGCCGTAATTTTCATATCATTTTCAGTCATCATGCAGCATCAAAACTAGTCTGCTAAGTCACGGTTATCTCACTCAGATATTCAAATTAATAATCAATATGATGCTCCACCTCTCTAATTAAGGTAGATTTAGATGAGAAGTCCTGACTGGGGAGCCAGTATGAGTATGATCAAGCAATAGTAATGCACTACAAGTTCACATGGTAGTCAAGCGAAGTCCTTGATGACTGAAGTGAAATGAAAATCTGGTGAGGAGTCAGGTCTCGTAGCCCAGTTGGTTGAAGCACTGGACTGGAAACCTCGCGGTTGATGGTTTGAATCCCACCTCGGGCGTTATTTTCATCTCACCTTCGATCATCACCCAATATCAATACTAGTCTGCTAAACCACGACCATCTCAGATGGTCCAAATGATAACATTTCTAAATCGATATTCTGATTATATTAGAACGAGAAAATCACTTTCTTTAAACGTACGAAAGCCGTAAGTTGTCGTAGTGATGAAATTAGATACGGGAAATCTCAGTTATCTTATCAGATGAACACTCACAAGAGTGATTGTCTACCTGGTTAGTAATCCTTCGATTATTATAATATTATTATTATTAGTCCCTTGGGTTCCTAGTGGAACATAGGGCTTCAGTAGCACGTCTCCAGTGACCTCTGTTCTCTGAGATCTTTTGAACCTGGTTTCACGACAGCTCACAAGCTCTCATTTCTTCCTCACACGACCTCCTCCATGTCACCCTCGGACGTCCAACTCGTCGCTTCCCATGGGGATTCCACTTGAGGGCCTGACGTGTGATGTCCCCAGGCGGCCTTCTCAGTGCATGCCCAATCCATCTCCACTTTCTTCCAGTGCATATTTGTTGGGCGATAGGTTCTTTGGTCGGTTCGTTCCCAGAGTTCCTTGTTACTTATTCTTTCTGGCCATCTGATCTTCAGTAACGAGCCAGCGTAGGCAGTTGTTGATGAATGTCCGTAGTTTGTTGGAAATCCCTTACGTAACGCGCCAAGTTTCTCAACCATATAGAAGCACTGACTTGACGTTGGTGTTGAAAATCCGGATGTTATTGACGCTTTATGCTGAGTGCAGAAGATCTCCACACTGGTTTCAGGCTAATGAACGCCAATCTTGCTTTTCCGACTCTGACATCCTCATCTGTCCCGCCTGTAGTTGAAACAGTGCATCCTAGATAGGTGAAGGAAGTTACTTCCTTTAAGTTTCTCCCGTCAATTGTGATGGTGACTGGAGTTTGTTGTTGGTGGTGGTGGTGGTGGTGCGGTATCTTCATCACCTCTGTCTTCTCTATATTCACTTGAAGCTCCGTCTTCGCTGCCTCTTCTGTCAACTTGTTAGTTTTCGCCTGTAGATCTTCAAGTTTGTGTGACATCAGACACAAGTCATCGGCGAAATCCAGATCTTCTAGGTTCTTTTCCGCAGTCCAGCCAGCGTATCCCCCTCTTCTCGCTCCCCACTGTTTGCTGTGTGATCCAGTCAACTCGACCACAATCAGGAATATCATGGGGGATAGTAGGCAACCTTGTTTCACTCCTGTCTTCACTTCAAAAGCATCACTGAGCTGAGCTTCCATTGTGATTTACTTAGCATGTGGCATCTTCATATAGTTGTTGAATGAGGCGGATAAAGGTTTGCGGTACTCCGTAGTAATGAAGCAGTTTCCAAATTACCTCTCGGTCGATGCTGTCAAAGGCCTCAAAGTTGAGGTAGAGAGCTGATTGCCATTCTATGCTCTGTTCTATGATGATGCGCAGTGTAGCGTTGCAATTTGGTCAGCACATGATTTGTACTTCCTTAATCCAGCCTGCCTGTTACGGTCGTAGTTTTGAATCCAGTGCATCCTTAAGCCTCTTCAGGATGATGCGGCTTAATATTTTGCTTGCTCTGGGTGGACGGGAGAGTGATTCCGCACCAGTTCTTGCAAACACTGAGGTCTCCCTTCTTCGGATTTTTGACAAGGTAACCCTTCTTCCAATCGCCCGGTACCTTCTCTTCCTTCCAAACCTTCTGCAATAGTGGTGTGGGCGTGTCTGCTGTTGTCTCTGCGTCCGTTTTCAGTGCTTCTGGCGGGACTTCATTTGGTCCTGCTGGTTTCCCACATTTCAGTAGTTCTATAGCGCTCAGGACTTCATTTTTGTTGGAGGATTTATGTTTACTTGTAGTTCAGCGGCTGCAGGTGGTAGTTCTGGACGAAGTGCAGGTGGTGGTCGATTCAAGAGCTTCTTGAAGTGGTCGGCCCATTGTTTCCTTTGTTTCTCTTCTTTCGTAATTAAATTTCCGTCATCACTTTTTATTGGCTTCGTCTGCGTTGATATCTTCCCAGATAGTAACCCGGTTATTTGATACAATGTTATCAGGTCTCTACTACCAGCAGCAGCCTGTTCTGCTTCACTTGCCAGTGTTTCATAGAAGTGTCTTTTGTCTTTGCGTGCACTCTTCTTCACTTCTTTGTCCAGTGTAGTGTTCTATACATTGTACTCAGATCCTCTTCTCGCCGTTCATCCTTGCACTGCATTGGTTTATCTTCTGCTTCACCATCCTCCTCTCCCTGCTCTATCAGCTTCCATGTGTCCATCGAGATCCATTCCTTATCTTCTTTCTTCTTCCTTCCTAATAGGGTTATGCAGGTTTCTTTCCACATCTCTTTCAAAGACTTCCAGTGTTCTTCCACACAGGTTTCTTTGGGGATGTTCCTCGATATCTCCCATTTTGTCTTGATGGCTGAAGTGAAGATCTCCTCTGTAGTTTCATCCTTCCGTTTCCGAGTGTTGTACTTGAACTGTGGTCTATCACCAGCTTCCTTGAAGGCTCTCAACCTGATTTTGAAGGTAGGTTCCTTGCACTAGATAGTGAGTGGTGTGAACCTACATCTGCTCCTCTTCTTGACCTTGTGTCAAGTAGACTGCTTCTCCATTTTCTTGAGATTGAGATAAAGTCGATTTGATTTTTAGTGTGTCCTGGTGTCTGGTGAAATCCATGTCGCTTTGTGGATATCCTTGTGCTTGAACACACTGCCTCCAATCACCAAATCGTTGAATGCACAGAATTCTGCAAGCAATTCTCCATTCTCGTTCATTTCACCTAGCGCTTCTCGACCCATGGTTAGTTATCTTCCTGTGTTGTCCACTCCCAGTTTGACATTCATGTCGCCCATTAGAATTTTGATATCGCCAATTGATATCTTGTCCAGTGTTGATTGCAGTTGTCTGTAGAATTCCTCCTTCTTCTCTTCATCTGCATTATTTGTAGGTGCATAGCATTGTATGATTGTGACCTTCCGTCCTTTTGAGTTGAACCTCGCTGTCATGATCGTGGAGGAGATTGGTTCTCACTGCATGAGAGACAGCCTTCGATGCTGTTGGGAACATCATGATAGCCACTCAAAAACTCAGTGTGCTGGTGGTTGTTGTCTGGGTGACAATATTGGAGTAGATTATTGACTCCTCTCCAGTTAACAGCTTGCAGAGTTCCCTTCCATTCCATCTGCTTTCGTAGATTCCTAGCACTTCCATGCCATACCTTCTCATGTCTTTTGGAATCTGAGCAGCCTTGGTAGGTTCATACGTGGTGTGGACATTCTATGTCCCCACGTTTACTTTCGCTTTCATCGAGAGAAGACATATCGGCCAATTGGCTTCCTGAAGGCTTTAACCGACTGGCGTCATTTCACCTCTCCGATTCCAACGAGGAATAATTTTGTTTTCATTTTTATATTTGAATAAACATTAGAAATGCGTTCGATAGCGCTACACATTTCACTATTTTAGTTTGGTCATAACAGTAGTGAAGATAGACACTTTGCACATGTGACATTATCCCTCCAAATATTTGACACTTCAGACCTTGGATCATACGTATATATGCTTCGATACATTGGATTCAAATCATATCTCAATAAATCAAAATGATTCCGCTTGTCAAGTACTGATTTGTTCATCGAAGTCTTCATTCATCAGTCTATACGATGAATACACAGACTAAAATGTGGAAGCATGATAACGTTTATTAGACTGAGTGCATATAACTTAATAACCACCTGCGTTCTAGTACGTTAAACAATGAGCGTCTATGCCACAAACTGTCTTACAACTACAACAGGCTTCGAGCCATACTCTTATCTATGCGAAGTTAGTTACGTAGACTATGAAGACACTATTCTATGTTGATGAATCTTTCTGAAAATAATTTCGCTTACTACTTCACTGATTTCTCAAGTTTAGATTGATAATAATGTTGTGTAGAAAGACAATGAAAGCTTCACAATGAAACCATGCAGCTCAGAGAAAACAACACACTTTCAAAATTATTCCTTCTGAGCTACAAATATTCTTCATCGTGTGAACATCTGTGATCTTTGATTGAAGTGTCCCATTTTCACATCACTCTAAAAATGTTTTACCACGATTAATCTACTATTTACATTTTTATTTGCTATTTTGTTTTTCTATCTCCTTTTTATTCATATAGCTGAAATGGCTGTCTATTTAAATTACTGTCGCGGAATGCGTTTTGACAGTCAACCAGATTATTCATATTTGAGAAATTTATTCCGTAGTTTATTTCATCGTGAAGGATTTACTTATGATTGTATTTTTGATTGGAATTTATTGAAATTTTCTGGAAATGATCCAAATTTAACAACCAACAGCACTCCAGCCATTATGAACAGTAATAATAGCAATGATCCTTTGGTTACAAATCAGCAACAACAACAAACTGTTCAGTCATCTCGAAGAGCTCATCATCATGAAGAGAAAGTCAAGTGTATGTGTCTTATTCATTGGTGATTGATATTGTGTAATAATATTTGTACATATGTAAGATAGTATTCATCACGAACAGACATCATTTAGGGAACCATGAATACTACTTTAATATTAAAATTCAAATGGACCTGAAACTGCATTACTCTTTATAGTGCTCACTAGTGACATACTTCGAGATAGATATCTCGAAGTTCTAATGAGAAGCTGTAACCTATTGGGTCAACCAGTCGGAAGTGAAGTTCCAACTTAACACCTTAGTGAATAGTCGCACTGTATCGCAAATTGACAGAAGCAGGAAACTGGGGTTTATTGAACTTCGACCTAAATGGCCGAATCGTTAACATGTTTGTCATGAAATTGGAAAGTCCTAAGTTCAGACCTCGACAGGGTTGTAGTGGCGTACTGTCGAGGAGTCCTATACTGGGAATAAGCGCATAATTGACTACTGAATTACTAAAACGTAAGGTCAACTGTATCTGATTTGACTAGAATACTTCCTTTTCCTTATTATTCGGTGAACGAAATATCTAATTTGTGGAGAATAACTTGGCTTTTAAAGAGTTATACTTCATTTAGTATTCTTTACCGTCTTGATTTGATGACTTAACATATATCATTAGAAATTGGTTTATTGAATCACAACCTTCTTATGTGTAGATCTCCCTGTTAATAAATTATTCAGTTGTCTGTAGGTTTCCATTCTATAAGATTGATCGTAATCACCTTTTTAGGCAAATACTTACTTCACTGTTTCTCGAGTGAACTGTCTATCGTCTTCATATAACTGTACTGTTCATTAGATATTGGAGACTGTGGATGGACTCCTATAGAGTATGATTTTCGCGCTAAATGACATTCTATAACTGGTATTGCTATTGGTTTCGTAGTAAGGCGACCACAAATTACTCGTTGATGAGAGTTTTCGACACTAGTTGTATGATTATCCAGCTGTTCAATAAGTTTCTAGTATTACCGATTGCTATAAGTTATCCAATTTAATCGGAATCCATGTTGACACCCTACTGAGAAAACTTAACGTAAAACGTTTGAAATGACGTGACTTTTGCACAGGATTCTTATGGCTGGCTAAGCTTGATGCTGATTGGTTTCAGCGTAGTACATTGACTGATGCCAGACCATCACAACGTGGAATCGTTGATAGAAGAATATTGGTTCTAGCTAACCCATTTCAAAATGGTACAAAAGGGGGAAATTAACAGAAATTGGGAGGTATTGACATAAACAAGAGGGATATGATAGAAGAAAAAAAGCGAAGAAGTAATAATAATTAATAAGAGACAGACAAGATCAACATGGCACCAGACATCACTGGTTCAAGTTACTACACCTCATATCAGCACATTAGGGCAGATATATAAAGAAACAGAGAAGAGGGAGTCAATAGTTGTTGCATATAAGTACAAGTTCGAGTTGCCACACTTAACCGTAGTATACAAAAAGCAGGTGGGATAGAAAAAGACAGATTAAAGTAGACAATGTTGTGTTAGAGAATAAACAACTTGAAAATAAAAAGTAGTGCAAGTATTCAAGCTTTAAAAGATGTCAGAGAGTGGATACATCAGCGCCATTATGACCGATTTTCATCTATTTCGCCAAGAGTCCTCAAGTAATGACTCCTATCGTCTCAGGGACCTCAACCTGGTAGTCTACATCTCCCCCCTCACAGTTCAAGCCAGCAGTCAGGGACTTTACCAACTGCTATCACGTCTTGGTCTCGCCATAATGAACCCTATCCCAACCTAATCCAACTTGTCCTAGAATTGCAAGTCGAAGTTGGCAGTGGGTTACCATGGGCATATCCAAGCCATCTAAGTCGACTAAGGTTCACAACCTCATCAATTGACTTACCTATCTTGCTTAGTACTCGCGTGACCTCAACGCTGCTCACACGGTGATTCCACCACATGCGAACAATATTATGAAGATACTTTCGATCGAAACTGTATAACGACTTCATATATATATATATATATATATATATATATATATATATATATATATATATATATATATATATATATATGGATGACATATTACCAGGAGTAAATTATTTTCTCTTTCCATTGGCGTTAGTCGAACTACGATTCTGTAAATATTAGTCTTATAAGTTTTTTTGTGTTGTATCGATTTCATCTTATTCAAATCTATGGGAAGCTACGCTTTGTCTAACTGAAACGTTTATTATTTAAGGGAAATAAAAGTTTGACATACAATTTGTCCTTTATATAATTTTATCCACATTTTAGCTCGCAACAAAGTAGGAACTGGTAATCTTGGCTATCCAGCACAACAACAGGCTACCACACCTCTAGTTCATAATTCACCATCTCCTGCTGCAACTAATTCACGTTCTGGTTTCACACAACAAGGTGTAGGTGTAGTAACCGCTTATCCACGTGGTATACCGCCATCATGTTTACCAGCTGCTCAAAGTATGGTCGCTCAATCACTTCAAGTAATGAGTCTTCAACCACAACCTAGTAGTCAAACACCATCTAGTGGTGGTGTTGGTAATAATGCGGCGGCAGCAGCCGCTGCTGCAATAGTCAATCATCATGTCCAACATATAAGTTCACATCAACCACCAAACCAACTTACTGCATACTATAATCAGTCTGTACAACAACCACAACAAAACATTTCACAGTCACCCCAACTAACTACTTCACAATTCACCAGTCCTAATTGTCCTCCTGGTATGTATCTCATCAATGCTAATAATGCTAATTCAAATAATACTGGTATTGCCGGTAGCCAACAGCCAAATTCTAATATATATCCTTCTATGGATCCAAATTGTATTATACAACACCCAACATCTCAGCAGCAGCAACAACAACAGTCACAGAGTGTTTGTTGTCTCCCTCCACAAGCCTCACATCATCCCAACACAAATCAAAGTCAACATCAACAAACATCACAACGTCAAATTATCCAACCTATACCTCATCATACACAACAAAGTTCGTATTTAATGACTCAACAGAATTCGGTTGGTGGTGGTCAGGTTATCGGCAGTGCAGCGATCAATTCATCATCATCAACAACAACAGTTGAATACAAGTACGTTTGCGAATCATCCACATAACTTGTATCACTTACGACTTCATCCTGAAACTTTTTATATGCCGGGACAGTTGGTAATGGTGGTACTGCTGCTATCAGTGGTGGACAAACTGCAGAAAACTTCTCAACGCCTATATTATCTCCAGGACAAGTTGGCAGTGGTAATGCATTTCGAAAATAAATCAAAATATTATCTGTACTGTACACGTGAATACATTGCGGTTCAACTCACTAATCAAGCGAAAATTTTTTGATTTCTTTTCACTTTTCTGTGCACATGATTTTACGCTTCACCTAATATTTATTTGTGTCTTTGACAATGGTGTAGGCGCATGTGTATGTGTCTGTGCCTCTTACCCTCTGAATTTCTCTTATGCTTATTTGTTTGCACAAATATAAGATGAGAGAAGAGTATGCTTAGTTTTCTGGTAAGGATAAGTGAGATTCCAACTATTATACTATGACTGACTCCAATGCACCTTTTGTGTAAATATATTTAGTGAATACAATTGCACAAGAGACACTGAGGGATACGCATCAATGTGGAAATAATTTTGTTTGTGTTGGAAGTAGCTCATTTCATCTAGCTTCTTTGTATCATACAGAGAAGACATAGAAAGGCGGGACATTCATAATTGAAACTATTCTTACTCTGTTCTAGTGAAAGGTATGGCGATGTCGTGGATTGAAATCATGAGTTTCACCAACCTCTTCTTTTGCTTTTCTCTATTTGTATTTTTCTCTGTATGTATGTGTTTTTACAACTTCGCATGATTTCTTTTCATCTGTAGAATTTACCAAGTGTGTGTGTATGTACATGGCGAGGTGGGGGGTGGGATGATGCACAAATCGATCTCCATTTATTTATTTAATAATTCTGTAATTAATTAATCAATCACTCTTCAGTTCTGCTTTATTCTATGGCTTCGGAATTCGATGATTGCATTTCCCTACTAGTGACATTTATTGAAACTCTTGTGTTATTGTAACGGTATATGTGTGTGCATGGTATCTGTAACGGTTGTGGGATATTGTATTCTTTCTACTCTCGTCTACACTGTTAGCAGTAGTAGTAGTGGTAGCAACTAATGAAGGTTAACCGGGATTCTGTTTCTTGAAAGAAAATAACTTTGCATCATTTTATTCGAATAGTGATTATATTATTTTTCACAATGCCTACTGTTATGTAACTAACCACACTCCTCCATTCATATTCTTATCATTGCTGCTACTAATAACTATTTAAGTAGTATTTGCTTTTACTTTCTAAACATAAGGCAAAGAAACGATTCTTTTGTTTTTACCTTAATTTGACTGTCCTCTATGTACTTGTGTATAGATATGTACATGTGCACATCTATGTGTATGTATGTATCTCCCCGTCTCTCTGGCTACCCCTATCCGTCTTTTCAATCTAATTTAATAATGCTGACGAACATTTTACGCAGCTGGTCAGTCGCCATTCTACTACTATCTGTGCTACGTGTCTGTTTTAAACCTTGTAGATTTCTGTTTAGTCGGTTAGTCAATCAGTCAATTGAACTTGGTTTACTGTTTCTATCGTTATTACTATTATTATTACTACTACTATTCTAATTGTCATTTTGTAGAGAAGGGAATCCGTTTTATCCAACATAATCTGAATGTATTTCTGTATATATATATATAGTAGTTATGCTAAATGATACTAAAAAAATCTATTATTAGTCTGCTTATGTGCCACTGGTTTGATTTGATTTATGTATTTTGCACTTGGGGTGTTCTGCGTGGGTGGAGGGTTACATATGGAGCACCTTTGCTGTTAGCTCATCCATTTGATGATCAATTGTTGGATCGCACTCTGTATGCTTTGTTTTCCACAAATGGATGGCAATACTGACTACAAATTTCTGTTACGACTAAGTGTCGTTTTGTATTGTGAGTTTATAAAAAACCGGTGGAAAATTGAAATGGTTGTTGTTAATTCAGAAAACTGTTCGTTAAAATGTTTCAGCTACTTATCCTGTAGTTATTAGGTACCTGTTATTTTCGTTTATCGTTTCATTGATACTGGATGGAAATTTGGGTCGCAAGTCATAGGAATTGATCCACTCAGGACTGGACAACATGAAATTGGTTGCTATCCCACAACCTGTCATTGTCGGTAACACATTCCTACAGGGGTGAGTCGTGGCCCGAAAGACTCAGTGGTAACGTCACTGACTACAACATTCGGTGACGCAGGTTCAAATCTCAGGTGGGGCATCAGTTGAGTCGAGGTTGCTGACAAATGCCAACAAGCACGAAACCCAGATCCGGGGCTTCCTGCCGATTGCCTCTAACCAAGTAACATCTACACATCTAAAAATCCATGTGATTCGGTGAAATACAATAGCCAAAGTAAGGAAGGTAATCAGCAAAACTATTTCAGTATCGAAACAGTTAGCGTTATCGGTGAATGAAGTGAGATCAAATCTAAAGAATATAGCTTTTATCGGATGGATTAGTGATCAGTCTAGTGTGTTAGTTGTCCAATGAAATCAATATAGACAGAAGAATTACGAAATATAGAGATAACAGAATGTAGAGATAGTGATTCATAGTGTCCAAGTTTTACACTGGGGAATGAATGTGTGCGCGTGGTTGTTTATTTACTAAGTGACTGAAAATCTATATTTAGCGATGAGGATGCAACATCATGTGAACACAATAAAGAAATAAGAAGTGTTACGTAACAGTGGAATATGGCTACCGGTAATGGTGTGAACAAACAAAAACGACATAAAACTAATAACATAAAAAGTGAATGTTTATAAACGTAATGACAGAGACAATGTTGAACAGACAGGTGGGACGTTTCCTGAATACCTTCCTTACTTTGGCTATTGTATTTCACCGAATCACATGGATTTTTAGATGTGTAGATGTTACTTGGTTAGAGGCAATCGGCAGGAAGCCCCGGATCTGGGTTTCGTGCTTGTTGGCATTTGTCAGCAACCTCGACTCAACTGATGCCCCACCTGAGATTTGAACCTGCGTCACCGAATGTTGTAGTCAGTGACGTTACCACTGAGTCTTTCGGGCCACGACTCATCCCTGTAGGAATGTGTTACCGACAATGACAGGTTGTGGGATAGCAACCAATTTCATGTTGTCCAGTCCTGAGTGGATCAATTCCTATGACTTGCGACCCAAATTTCCATCCAGTATCAATGAAACGATAAACGAAAATAACAGGTACCTAATAACTACAGGATAAGTAGCTGAAACATTTTAACGAACAGTTTTCTGAATTAACAACAACCATTTCAATTTTCCACCGGTTTTTTATAAACTCACAATACAAAACGACACTTAGTCGTAACAGAAATTTGTAGTCAGTATTGCCATCCATTTGTGGAAAACAAAGCATACAGAGTGCGATCCAACAATTGATCATCAAATGGATGAGCTAACAGCAAAGGTGTTCCATATGTAACCCTCCACCCACGCAGAACACCCCAAGTGCAAAATACATAAATCAAATCAAACCAGTGGCACATAAGCAGACTAATAATAGATTTTTTTTAGTATCATTTAGCATAACTACTATATATATATATACAGAAATACATTCAGATTATGTTGGATAAAACGGATTTCCTTCTCTGCAAAATGACAATTAGAATAGTAGTAGTAATAATAATAGTAATAACGATAGAAACAGTAAACCAAGTTCAATTGACTGATTGACTAACCGACTAAACAGAAATCTACAAGGTTTAAAGCAGACACGTAGCACAGATAGTAGTAGAATGGCGACTGACCAGCTGCGTAAAATGTTCGTCAGCATTATTAAATTAGATTGAAAAGACGGATAGGGGTAGCCAGAGAGATGGGGAGATACATACATACACATAGATGTGCACATGTACATATCTATACACAAGTACATAGAGGACAGTCAAATTAAGGTAAAAACAAAAGAATCGTTTCTTTGCCTTATGTTTAAGAAAGTAAAAGCAAATACTACTTAAATAGTTATTAGTAGCAGCAATGATAAGAATATGAATGGAGGAGTGTGGTTAGTTACATAACAGTAGGCATTGTGAAAAATAATATAATCACTATTCGAATAAAATGATGCAAAGTTATTTTCTTTCAAGAAACAGAATCCCGGTTAACCTTCATTAGTTGCTACCACTACTACTACTGCTAACAGTGTAGACGAGAGTAGAAAAGAATACAACCGTTACAGATACCATGCATACGTACCATTATAATGAGGTTTGGTACAAAGGAGCTAGATGAAATGAGCTACTTCCAACACAAACAAAATTATTTCCACATTGATGCGTATCCCTCAGTGTCTCTTGTGCAATTGTATTCACTAAATATATTTACACAAAAGGTGCATTGGAGTCAGTCATAGTATAATAGTTGGAATCTCACTTATCCTTACCAGAAAACTAAGCATACTCTTCTCTCATCTTATATTTGTGTAAACAAATAAGCATAAGAGAAATTCAGAGGGTAAGAGGCACAGACACATACACATGCGCCTACACCATTGTCAAAGACACAAATAAATATTAGGTGAAGCGTAAAATCGTCACCATAATTCTTTTAAACATTTGTCACATCAACATGTTTGGTTTATATATATATAGATATATATATATATATATATATATAAAGCTGTTTGTAGTAAAGGAAAGCCTGATGAGGATCTAGTTGAATTCAGGGTTCTTCGCCTATTTGTCTGGTTCTAATAAAACAGTTATGAAAGCGCACGGAGTAAGTTGGTTACAAAAATGTAGAAAGCGACGGATTTCACTGCGGTTATGGGATGGAAAGTTATTAAGTGAAGGAGAATGCTACGGAGGTACTGGTGGACAATGATAAGTGTTTTATTTTAGTTGTAATTCAAATGTATCAGGGATTAGAGAGATGGTTTTCATTCAGTTAATCGATTTCAGTATTTTAAGAATATCCCTCATTAAGCGTAGTCGAAGTATAATAAAACGCATCTTTTTCTCATAGGCTGCTGAACAAACGTAATTGAAGTTACCTAATGGTCAATCCAACTGGAATCAGTGTTTTTTCTGTCGGTTTCTGTAGAATGACGGCCCATCCTCTGTAAAATTCACGTTTTTTTACTTCTATTTGGAGGTTTGTGGAGATTTATGAATTCATTTCAAGTTGATATTCATCACAGACTGAGATTATTCGACGAATCCTTGGAAATCTTGGAGGATTGGACAGGTATCTCGTCCTAGTAATAGTCTCGTTGGACGTGCGCATCTAGGACCTTCAATTTTCTTGGCTAAAAAATATTACCATCAAGACAATGGGTCGGGACTTTTATGTCGAACTAAATCATTCGTGAGTAACAGATAGTAATTACTTTATCTGAACTGCTATCTAAGAGTATGTAGGCTGAGATCACAAGGGATGACAATTGTCTTTCGTAGTTGTTAGTGCGTCATTCAGTCGAACAGTCTATAAGCAACCGTTGGCAGATATCCAGTCGACAAGTGCACCTTTTCCCTTAGGTTTATCTGTCTGAAAAGTTGTGAGAAATAACTGATGAGTCTTTAGAAATTCGAAGGGTGGATATTGTAGATCCTCCGCAAAACAGGCTAGATAATACTAGAATTTCACTTTTTACCTAGTCAAGTGTTTTTTAAAATAGGAGCGAGAATATTGTTTAGAAACAAAAGGGAATAAGCATACAAACAACGTTGAGTAGAATTCTAAGGAAAACGGATACCTATAGTAACACATTATGATATACGGTGGGCAAAAAGCACTTTAAAAACTAAGTAAACCACTGTGAAAAGCCATTTCCAAACATTCAAATTAATTGGAATAGAAAAAAGCACTAGGAAACCACTTAAGGAGCAGTCATCCTGATATTTGTATACAAGAAGTGCTTCCTAACTGAATCTACAAGTTTTGATAAATATTCTGCATCTACGATCATCTTTGTCAATAAAAGCGTTCTCAAGTGAGCAATTATACAGGACGAATTGAGTCACATTACATGATCATGTTTTAAACACCACTGCAGTGTAACACACTTGACCTTACCTCTGTGCAATGAATAAAGAAAAGTTCTAACTATGGATTGATATTACTCTCAGAAATTCTGAAGTATTGGGTAACTGTTTCGTTCTGGGTTCGGTTTCCTCAGCGATCCACAATCCCATGAGGAATCAAGGCCGGGACCAGCAGGTTTCACGACGACCATGTCACAATTCAACTAATCCCTCGAAACCCAGTGGTCCACTATTTCCAACTTCTGTCAACTCTCATCGTAGGATGACTATAATACGAAATCCTCGAACAGCATTCGCCTCACTTCTGGTTTGGTTAACTCCACTAGTCACAACTAATTCATTAGAACTTTGAGGAATCCATGTTGCTGATAGGCACTCTCATGTACTGACAGAAGTTGGAAAACATGGACCACTGAAATCTAATTCAGTAGCCATATGGTAACATGATGGTTGTGACACCCAAAAGCTCTGGGCTAGGTATCTAACGGGGCTTGGATGTGCACCTCTCAAACTAGCTCTCTAATTTCCTTCAATTATTATCAGTCTGTAGCGAAAACCTCTTTTAAAAGAAAAAAGATTCCATTTGGCTTCAGTAGTGTTTTTTCTACTGAAAGTATCTTTAAATGCTGTAAACAGTAAGTAAATAAATTACTGTTGTTTGATACTTATGATTTCCCTGTACTACACAAGGCCAAACTGCTTGACCTTTGTTGGCAGATGAGCTCTTATGCGTATGCCTTGATACTGCCTAGGTATTCATTACATTGTAGTCTGTCTGATTGCTAGCAGTGGAATCTGGGCGCATGTTTCGTCCTTATTTGCGGCTGGAGGTACACCTGCACACCAGTGAGTTGTCGACAATGTCCCTACCTAGGCTCGAACCCAGTACCCAATGCTTCAAACGCCAAGTCCTATCCACTAGGCTACTGTAGCACGAAAGCCAGTTGTTGTTTGGTACTTGTAATTTCCCGCTGCTATACAGGACCGAATTGCTCCAGCTGACGAGTCACAGTAGAACAAGACGCGCTCCAAGCCGGCTTCCACTGCTAGTCACCAAGACGATTATAATTGAACTACTTTTTAGAGAGAAAGCTTTTATTAGAACATAGAGCATATGAGTTAGCTTGAAAAATTAACCCATGATGAAATGTCAGTGGGAAAAGTGAAGTCAATTGTTATCCAAATAGAATGTACACAGTAGAATATTCATAATTGTTGTATTGAAAGGAAACGAGAAGACAGAGACGAAGGAAAAAATGTTTATTGTTAATAAGTGGCACAGTAGTCGTTAAATACGGTACACTTTGCACCAAGACAGTAGTTTGCAAAATGTGCTTCGTTTCCGCTTCTCTCTTGATTTACTCTTCATACGCCCACGTTGTCTCTTTCGTTTCTCTGGCCAGACTCTTTACTGTGATTTCTGCCACCTTCTCAACATATACTACTTATATCCATTCTTATCAGCAATGCCCATTAAAGTCATACTACTAGAAACGTAGATTAGGAGATAGAAGAATAAGTTTCACTAGTTGAAGTCAGTGACTCAGAAATATCAGTTGATGTAATGAAATGGAGGCTTAGTTATCGAAAAACGAACGACTCACTACACCATTATTCATACAGCTTGCTCCGTGGATGAATATATAACCAGAGTACGCAGAATGAGATACATAGAGCAAAAGGGAGGTTATTTCTTTAAAATATTTTCCTTACATCACTTGATGACCACCTACAGAATATTTTTGAAGTATGAACACACAGTCCACCTGGATTAAGTATCTGCACCCTAGTGACTGATGTTCTTCCCAATGATACTCGAACCTCGTACGCATCGCTTCAAACGCCAAAGCGTTATCAAGTATAACAACGGAGAATTACAAGTATATCAACCAGTACTAGTAACGAGTACCCCAGTGGATAACACCTTGGCATTTGGAGCCATGGGTACGGAGTTGGAGTCCCTACGGGAACAACATTACTCACTGGGGTTCAGGTACATCCATCTGACGACTCCAAAATAGGAAGAAACGCCCGTCGTCTGTTAGCCACAACTAACCAAATTAACATTAAAATCTATTAAGGCAATATCGACGCATTCGCGTAGCAGCCCATATACCAAAAGTGACCGAACAATTCGATCCAGTAAAACAACGGAGAATTACAAGTATACCAACAAATAGGATCAAGTATCATCACAAAATGTGTTTCCTATGTAATGGCATTTATAATGAATACATTTCCTTGGGTTTAGTAGTCCAAAAAAAAGTTTCCATCATGAACTGAAATCATTTGGAGAACTAATTAAAACCTAGGAACGCTGAACAACTGTTTCGTACTCTCTATTGAAAACCGCTTTCAAACCGTTAATTCTCTATGAATCAACAATTAAATTACTAACTCTCCAGTGATTATTAGTGATGTTTTTCGAGGTGGATTTCTCATAGTTCTTATGAAAAGTCGTGACCTGTGGAGTGAGGTGAATGCTCACTGATGACATCGTAATATGGTCACTATAGGATAAGAGTTGACAGAGGTTGGAAATAGTGGACCGTTGAATCCGTAGGTAATAGTTGGGAAAACTTATGGTCTGATGCTTGACCCCTCATGGGCTTGTTAGTTTGCACTATTGAAGAATTCAAAGATGGGACGGAACAGCTTACAGTGCTTCCAAACGAATAACAACCGTTTTTCTCCATTCTTGTTTTTTAATATAATTCCTGATGTTGTTCTTCTTATAAAGTTACCAGGTGAATGAAATGTATAGGGATTTAAGTTATTTGAAGGATTATTTCAACTTGTTTGACAATTAACGTCTGAAAACAGCTATTCAATAAACACTACCTTGTAAATTATGTCATAGTTGACAGACACAGAAACGCAAAATTGACGTAAAACTCCACACACAAGTCCACCGGTTCAAGTTACTACATATTACAGTAGCATGCAAGGAACAAGTGGATAGAAAAAGACTGATGTCAATGTAGACAATGGTATATAGAATGATAGAGAATTTAAAAATGAAGGTTAATCAAAACATTCTAGCTTTTGAAGACGTCATAAACTGAACACGTCTATGCCAATGTGATTTTCAGCTATTTCAAGGACAGTCTTCAACCACTGGTTCCTATCGTCTCAAGACTTCAGCCAGGCAGTCTGTGCCTCTCTCCCTTTCCCAACAGTCGGAGAGTTCATGGTTCGTCGAGGTAGGCCAAGCCTCCTCACTCCATGACGGCTCACAACTTCAACAAGGCCGTTCAGGTTTATGCGACTCTTCATGTAAGTAAAGTGGTCGATGCATTCCATCACTTCACTCCGTATCACCAAACTAAGAATAGTTACAGATGAGTTCTGTAACATCATCTTGCGTTTGACAGGTACCAAGTATAAGCAGATTCATGTTCAACGTTTTTAGTGGGCCCTGAATTTTGTTATCGTTTTAAGTTAACAAGAAAATGTCATGTGTATACTCCAATGCAATCAGATGCATTCCAGACAGTAAATTAATCCATGTGAAATCAGGTGTACCTAAGTTTATGTCTGTTACGAAGCTAAACACGAACAGTGACAACCGATATCCCTAGCGGACATCACCAGTTGTCGTGAATTCTGGTGACAAGTCTCCATAAGCCGTTATTTGACCACGTAAGTCCGAGTAGAAAGCCTTGAATAACGTTGCATACTTGCTTTGTACTCTTTACAGCCAGATGCTGCTACGACATCTGACGACCAACGGATTCGAATGCCACCTTTAGGTCAAGAAATATGGCGAGTGTCAGCCACTGGAAAATATGGCTGTGCTTCGAGACCTGTCAGAAGATGAAACCTGTTTGATCTCGAGTTTATAGGTCGATAGCCTCAGTTAGGATCTTGGATATGCTGTCAATTGAACTGATTCCCTTTTATTTGTGACAGGAAGATTTCTTTTTTATCGATTGGAATGGTCGATGAAGTAGACAAGTCTGACGGTACTACCTCTGATTCCCATACACTACTTAGTACCTCCATTAATCTAGTTTACAGTTTCCCACTGCTTTCCTTAAAATCTTCAAGTGGCGAACTGTCAGGTCCTGGTGTTTTGCATAGTTTCACCTTCGATACAGCCTTCTCAACTTCAAGGAGAGTTGGAGGACTGATATCCACGTCCCATTCAGGTTCAGGCTCGATGTTGGGCAACTGAAGCGTTGCCGTGGGTCAGTTGAACTGTGTTTTACATTGTTCCATCCAACATTTTTGAGAGATTATCAGTGTCCCATAGTTTTCGGTGTTGGTTTCATTCATCATCGTCTGCTTCTTGTGAGTATCCTTAATAAACCTAAATAGTTGCCCATTGTTATCTAATCCTTATGCCTCCTCTATCTCTACAACATAACATCTCCAAAGAACTTATACGACTATTTTGATATTAAGCATACTGTGTTGCCTGGATATTCATCTACCAAACTGCAATTCCATTAATTTTTGATATATCTTCTTCTCTATTAGATGACATAAAGCAGAGCACAAATCAGTTATTAGGTATATTTCATATAAGATGATGGGCTATACCGAGTAATTTACGAGTTTCTGGTGGTACTATTATACTATGTGTAAATAAGTAATATCTAGTTAAAACTAATGGCCTAGTAGAGGCCATAGAATGAAAGATTAAGCCATTGTGTGTTACAGTTTTTTCAGCGAAAATATTAGGTGTATTTGAATCACTTCGATAGTATAACAAAACTTATCTGAAAAACTAGATATTAATTGATTTTACCTTAGCAATATTAAATCTGTTGGTTTACTAAACATTCCGGAGGGAAACCAATAAGATTCAGGATGAATAGTAAATTGGTTGAAAAGAATTTACGACCGGTAACATGATAGACACATATTTATGAAAGGATGCAATAGAAAGACAACAACTTTAGATTACAGATACTTGTTAATTAACATTGATGTAATAACATATGTTAACAAATCAAAAAACGATATTCTTGACAAATGTATAATTTATTTCTGCTTTGATGTATATATTAGTCATGATTTCTAGTAACTTAAAAGAAGACATTTGTTGAATGTTTATGCTAACCAACTGATTACTTGAAATAAATTAGATCTTGATCATATAAAGTATAAGTTGGACGTAGTTAATCGGCAGAAAGCCCTGTTTGACCTAGGTTTCGTACCCATTGGTACTCGTCACCAAGACGTATCTGCAGCATCGATGGAACTGATGATCAGCCTGAGATTCGGACACGTGTCACCAAGTACTGCAATCAGAGACCTTACCATTGAGCTATTCGGGGTGCGACTGGGCTCCTATAAGACTGGGATAGGTGCACTGGCTAACCACTGAAGGCTAATCAACTTCATGTTGTGTAGTTCAAAGTGCTAATGGATTTTTATCGATAATTTCGCAATGTGGCAACTGAGCGATGCACTAAGATAGGTGTTTGTTAGTTGGAGGCAATCAGCTGGAACCCATTTAAGACCAGGCAGCATGAAGTTGGTTACCCTCTAGTGACCAATCAATTTAGAATAAAACACTATCTGGTGAAATCACATTAGTAAACAGGAAAAAATTACCAGCAAGAGGAAAAACAAATGTAACGAAATAGGATTTCCTGAAAATCTGTGAGATATTAAAAATTCAGATAATTGGATGTTCTCATTATTTCCTGCAAAAAACTGGCTTTTATTTCCACATACAATATCAATAGCTTTTCAGCACTGATTTCTGATAAATTAACATCAGAACGATTATATTCATAGGCCCTCAACTTTACTTCTATTCGTCTGGCCCCTGAGAGAATTTCACTTAGAGATTGTATTCAGTCAAGTGGATTACATTTCCTCCTATTCCGTTCACGTTAACGAAGTTGATATCTGATTTATCTTCCTGGCTGTATATCTGATGGAATACCTCTCATCTATTGTACTAAATATTAGCATTGTTTCTAAGACACATGATAATGATGACACTCGGCAGAAAATACACGTTAGTTAGATTCATTATCACAAAATTGCAATTGTTTATTAAAAAGGTATCTGCTAACAAGCTTTACAAACTTGTCTTGTGAGATTAGTAGACAGATATCTTAGCGTTATAAACTAGCAAAATCCCAAAGAGCTTTCTGCATATTCATTGTGTAGGATGTATTTTTACTTGTGTAATCCCGGCGTAGTATATTGGAACAAATAACAAAATAAACAAATATTTTGTATTATTCTGCATATGCCAAATAATATGCTTTTAAAGAAAATGATTCAGATTCAGGTGATACGTGAAGCTATTGACATCCTCTATAACACTGATTGGTATTGACAACGCTTTTCAAGTAACGCATACATAGCCTATGGCAGTTTATGAGGATTTATCAGCCTCATTCAAAAGCTATATGACGACGCCACATACCAGTGGTTCACAATGGAAAGCTCAGTAACGCCTTTGAAGTGAAGACAGGAGTAAGATAAGGTTGCCTACTATCACCCATGGTCCTTCTGATTGTAGTCGACTGGATTGGATCATGCAACAAACTGAGAAGATGGGAATACGCTGTTTGGCCGATGAAAGGACCACAGAAGATTTGGATTTCGCCGATGATGATTTATGACTAGTGTCACACAAACTCGAAGATCTACAAGCGAAAACTAACAAGTTGGCCAATACGGGACTTTAGGTGAACGTAGAGAAGACAGAAGTAATGAAGATACCCAACCACCACCAAAAAAGACAACAAACACTAGTCAGAATCAGCGGGAGAAAACTAAAGTTAGTTGTCTCTTTCACCTAGGCAGTATTGTTTCAACTATAGGCGGTACAGGCACGGATGAAGACGTCAAAGCCAGTCAGGATCAGAAAGACAGTAAGACAGCCCTTCATCAACCTGAAATCAGTGTGGAGACCTACTGCACTGCACTCAGCATAAACAACAAGATCCGGATTTTCAACACTAACGTCAAGTCAGTGCTTCTATATGGTTCAGAGACCTGGCGCGTCACGGAAAGCATTTCCAACAAACTGCAGACATATATCAACAGCTGCCGCCTACGCTCACTCGATACTGAAGATCAGATGGCCAGAATAATAAGAATAAGCAAGAAGGAGCCCACTCTGGCAACTAACCAACCAAGAACCCATCTCCCAACAAATATGCAGAAGGAAGTGGAGATGGATCGGGGATACACTGAGAAGACCGATTGGGGGACATCACGCGCCAGACCAGGCCCTCGAGTGGAACCGAAATAGGAAACGACGAGTTGGGTGTCCGAGGAGAGGGTGACATGGAGGAGATCGTGTGAGGAAGAAATGAAAGCCTGTTGGCAGTCGTGGAGCCAGGTTCAAAAGACTCCAGAGAAGAGAGTGAAACGACGACCTGCTACTGAAGCTCTACGTTCCACTAAGAGCCCAAAGGACAAATAATAGTATTGATTTCAAGGTAGGTTTTACCACGGACTGATGGGTATCAGTCTTTGATGCAAACCTCATAAAAGTACTAGTTCCTTCGTAACAATTGGAAAACCAAGAATGTCCTAGACAAATTTCTTTTACAACAATCCAGCAATTTAATTCAATTACTTCGCTATATTCTTCAAGGTTGAATGCATATTTTGAGTACGTTTAAGCTTTCACAGACAAGAAAAGTTTTTCTGAAAACCTTAAGTTAGCAATATGGACATGAGTTTCATCTGTGATCTGCCTATACCCGGTAACTTACGAATGACTACTGTGAAACAAATAAAAACAACAGACTCAGTAATTTAAGATTTCAAAACTGTATACAAACTACTAAGTATCAAATCACTTCTCATTGTATCAACTAGCCAATAACAGGAAATCATCATCAGTCACGTCCGAGGGTAACATGGAGGAGATCGTGCGAGGAGGAAATGAGAGTTTCTGGGCTGTCGTGGAACCAGGTTCAAAAGATCTCAGAGAACAGAGGTCACTGGAGACGTGATACTGAAGCCCTATGATCCATTAGGAATCCAAGGGACTAATAATAATAATAATAATAATATAATCACCAGTCACTTCCAATATGAACTACCTACATGAAAAACAATCATACACCTATGAATAAAATACTAATTATAGAAGGATAGAACAAATTTCAAGCAGAGTTACTAATTTCTGCATGATTTAAAAACAAAATTTATTTGTGACCTCATTTCACACCACTTAGATGAGAAACTGTTTTCAAATACATTCAGTTTCACTTCAACCCAGATTCACATGATATGCATTTTTGAGATGAATGGGAATTTTTTAATTTAGAAGTAATATTCATCATGGACTGACATCAGTTGGGAAACCACTGAAAATCCGGGAGCAGTGGACGGCTGTTTCGTCCTAGTATGGAATTCCTCAGCAGCGCGACCCGGCTAGGGATCGAACTCAGGACCTTCAGGTATCACTGCGAACGCGTTCCCCATTCATCTCAAAAATACATTACTGTATGGTGCTCATTAGTGACTTGCTTCCAGATGGATTTCATCTGAAAACCTTGCGTGATAGTCGCTCTATGTGGTGAATTGACAGAAGTTGGAAATTGTGAACCACTGGAAACCAACCCAGTGGCTGAATGGTTAACTCATTCGCCGTGAAACCTGAAGGTCCTGAGTTCCATCCCTAGCCGGGTCGTGGGTGCGTTCTGATGAGGAGTCCCATACTAGGACGAAACAGCTGTCCAGTGCTCTCGGATTTTCAATGGTTCCTCAACTGATGTCAGTCCATGATGAATACTACTTCATAAGATATGTGATTATTTAATGAGCTGTTTAGTGGATGAGTTTTGGGTAAATTTTCTGAAGTGGAATCTGTAAAAGTATGAAAATGAAACCAAAACATCACATTCCAGTTGCCTTTACTGAATAAATGCGCGTTATTATGTCTCCTAAAGAAAGCATGAATATTTCAGGCTTTTTGAATAAATTATCACCATTAATACCAACATAGGACCAGGTACGATTGCGTAACAAGTCCAATTTACCACATTTCATGTCAGCCAATCCAGCGAGGCACTAAAATGAAAAAAAAAAAGATTTAAAGAGGAAAGCAGTCAAAACTCGTAGAAGGTTGTGATAGGATAACCAGGAGGATTAAGATGAGGATAAAGTGCGGATACATTTGTGCCACTGACACTGATTTTAAGCCATGTCACCTAAAGTCTCCAAACACTGGTTTCTATTGTCACACAGACCCCAACCAACTAGTCTTCATCTGAATATATGTCTCATTGTTATTCAGCAACTTCATACCACTATACTGTCTTAGTTTGGCTGCCCCTCACCTTCTTGCAGACTAAACCTACTTCAGCTAACATTGTGAGACGAGGCAGATAGGGACTAGGCATGCGTAGCACATGTCCCAGCCAGCCTAGTCAATAGAGATTCACAACTGCATCAACTGGCTTTTCTCTCCTCTTCAAAACTCTACATCTGACTACTGAGTTACCGACGAGGTGACAGCATGACACACGGCCTATGCTATGTAGGGAACGGTGGTCAGACACTAGAAACCTCATTTTCCCTACTTTCAATGACCATGCTTCACAGACATGTAGTCTAACAGAACCATCTGCAGCACATCAGACTCAACACTTGATAAGCAGTCAGACATCATGCCGGTGCCATAAGTGGTGTAAGTTGGCAGAAACCTGGCCAGCCTTTTGTATCGGTGCAGAATTTTCGTTAGCCACTGACCCACTACGTCTGGTCCAACTTCCAAGAAGAGTGAAATATTCAACGCATTCAACCACTTCACTCCTTTTTGTTAAGCAAGGTACCAGTGAAAACCAGTTATGAAACAATAATTTGCTTTTGGGTGGCGAGAAATATATGTGGTGAGTCACGGTTATTTTAACTGTAAATCATAAAGGGCTTCTAAAATGAGGCTTTTCAGTCTAGAATAGAGAGAAGGACAACTATTGCATCGCATATGGAGTCTGTGATAAAAATGAATATCTAGCTACCTATCCTTCATTTCTGAGATCGCTTCATGTTTGAAACGTTTATCTAGCGACAAAGCTCCGGATTGAGTACACAAATGGACAACTGATATAGCTATCTCTTCCTTAGTACTAGGTGTTGCTTCAAGACTTTCGATCAATTCTGCAGTAAGACTACTAAACCAAACGGCACCACATTGTGGAGAAGTGGTATTTATTGATACTCTCAGTCTCCAATTACTATTGTGGGTTGGATAAAATGACCGCACTAAGGTGCAGATACATCCAGCTGACAAGTCCCAAATAGGACGAAACGCGCATGTTGGCTCCCACTAAGTAGACTACAGTGTTGTGGGGTGTTTTTTACATTTCCTATTATCTCAAAAAAAACATTCCAAATGTGGACAAATGTATACATATGAGCTTTATACTTTCGTTAAATAAGCACTTTTTTTGAAGCCAGATTATCGCTCTTTTTGTCCTCCTTTTTCATGCCCCATTGAAAAAGGGCGATCATGTGAGGCAAAAGCTTAAACAGTATGATTGCTCGTATTATGCCATCGTTGA